TGTGTACTAGCAAGTTGCTAGCAGCAGCACGTCTTCCTCGCTCAAGGGGATGTTTGTGATTGGCTGGCTTTGTTGTCGATCCAAGGCAAGCAGGAAATGAGGTTTGTGATTGGCTGGCCGTAGCTGTACATTTAGGGCAAGCGTAAAAAGGATGTTTGTGATTGGCTGAGCTGTACATGCAGGTAAAGCTGGGGAAACTCATGGGGAAATTATATCATCAATATCGTTGCCTTTTGGGATATTAATATCTTGCATGTTCATATCTCGGTATAGATACGATAACGATATATCGTTCAGCCCTAGTTATTACTATCCTAAAACATTCTCCAGGTCCTCTGAAACTCTGTAGGACTTAAGCCTCTTTCACACAGAGCGCGATTTTCGCGGCGCCCACTGCGGGGTAGAGCACAGAGCAAGTGAGAGCAAGGCGTGCAAGACAGGATTTGGGGGAGTACAGGCTCGTTCAAGAGCTACAGCTCCATGGTGACCGCTTCCGGGTCTACTTCAGGCTCTTCTCTGCTATTGGACGCGCCGAGGTGTCGTCACAGCGTGTTGCAGTGAAATTAAAAAATTTTCAATTCGAGCGCAGGCTGGCGGCGCGCAGACGCCACGGCATCAGCTCGGCGGCAGAGCGGTGCACTCTTGCGCCGCAGTAGCACGTACACAATGAATGGGTTCGTCGGCGGAGGTTTGTGCTTTGTGCGCTCTGTGTGAAAAGGGCTTTATTTCCACCCTGCCCAGCAGCGGTACCGTGGCGAACGGTCCCTAACTGCGGGGAGAACGGAGCAGGCTTCCCCGTACGTAGGTCCGCCGCTTCCTCCACACTTTGACTTATTTCCACGCTGCCGACAGTGGGACCTTTCATTGTGCCGACAGTGGCTTGGAAACCGCCCATAACCGTGTCACACGGGGAAGAGGGAAGAGGGAAGGCGGCTGGAGTTCCTCCAACATTTGCGGTTAGATTATCATATTTTTTTATTGACAAAAATATAGGCTGCTTCGGCTGTTTTTTTTATGCGCACATGTGCCCCTAAATATTTTTTACAGTTCGCACACACCTATTTTTAGTCGCAAATGCGAGTGAAACGCTTGCACTGTCGAGCCCTGCAACTGACATGCAAGATGTTTTTCTGTGGAAGACTCTCTGTCACACCTCTTATCTTACTCAACACGCCAACGTATCCCTATGAACCTGTTGGAGCACATTCAAGCCAACACAGGTCCAAGAACAACATAACATTTGAATTGCATTACCACTGGCAAAAGATCTAGCAACTTAAATGTAGGAAAATGTTTCCAGACTGATGCCAAATGGTTAGATAATTTCATAGTGGCTTGTAACTCTTGCTTCAATAAAGGCTTGTGTGAACTAGGGCTGTAAACCACCAGTTTCATCATGATACGATATTACATCGATTCTGCGGACAACAATATAATATTTTTCGATATTACAAAGTCTGCCACGATACATTTTTGATTCGATACGATTCAGGGATCTGCGATTGATATTAGGCAAAATCAAATGCCCATTTAACACAATCTGTTACAGAAGACGCTGCCACACCTTTCTTTTTTACTTTTGACCATAAAAGAAAAAATCTTTTCATTTTAACCCAACCATGATGTTTTTCATAAAACTTCAGGAATATCTGTCTTAAAGCCCTGAAGCCAAACTTCTCCCAACAGCCATAAAACACAGATTAACAACAAGATCATTCAAGAACGGTATCACATTCAGCTCAGTAATAACTGTCAAGGTTCATGGACAAAACAGCTGTTTTTTGCTAATCACCCATTATTAGCTTAAACATGTTTACATTGCATAAATTAGCCTAGTGGACATTTTTCCTCTTCTCATAGCTTAACATATTACATGTAACATTATTATTTTTCTTACTCACCGGTGGTTTAAGTCACTGCATCTCCCGACAGAACAGAATTCTAACGTTACGTTGTGTTTTATCTCGTAACATCAGTTTACATCTGTTGATCCTTATATGCTGATTTATTCCCAAGTAAACAACGTTACCCTAATCGTCTTTCTCTTGGCTGCTTTCCATCTGCCTGCCGCTGTTTGACAGTGACACAGACTTTCAAAATAAAAGCTTATACTAAAGATGACGATATGGATCGATGTTTTCACTTTGCATCAATGTGATTGGATCATTGATCATTAAATCGATATATTGATCCAGATTGATGGATCGTTACACCCCTACTCTGAACATCAAAGAATTTTAACAATGGTGTGTGTGTTTGTGTGCGTGTGTGTCTTACGTTGCTCTCTACTCCGCTGTAGTCCATCGGTGGGTAGAGGGAGAGAGCCAGATCATCAACACTGAGGAGAAAAGACAGCAAGACACAGATTTGTTTGCATGACTGTTTAAAAATTAATATTTTATTTTGATAAAAAAAAATAAAAAAATCAAACATTAACAGCTTATTGGACAACAGCTGCTTCGCAACAATCACTAAAAGCAGGAATGAACCCTATGAATGCATAAAAACATACACCATCTCATTCGAACTGTTTCTGTGCTGACAAAGAAAGAATTACTGATTGTTTCAATGTAAGAACTCAAAACAAATTTTCCGGGAAGATCCAAAAGATGGGACGTTACGTGCACTTATGATTGCCTTGCCTCTCATCAGTTCCACTACAGCACTAATAGAATGTAACAACAAGAAATGGAGTCCGCTGAAGTCAACAAACAGCCTGTAACTACCACAACATACAGTCGACACATACTGTGTTTCCATGATACATTTTGCAACAGCAGCAGCCTGGAGACGGACCCTCACTTGGCGCCCTGTGACAACTCAAATTCACCAAGAGCCAGATCAAGCACCCGAGTGCTGGATCTGATCCCATATCGCCCTTTCAACCAACCCAAGTCCCTGTCGGATCAGCAAACTTTCTGTTGCTGCCATTACACATGTTCGACCCAGCCGGCTGAATTTAAGTTGCTACAGCAGCCCACTCTGCTCCCAGGGACGTAGTGTCATGGCGGCAGGAAGTGAAGTGGAGGGTTCATGGGCTGTGCTAGCTAGCTAATTCTTGTCTCATTTGTGGTCTAAGTGCCCCCTGGCGCTAATGCTGACAATTTATTGATGAGCAAATGTAGCAAAGTACTGTCTTGAGTGATTAGCATATTTAATTCAGACTCCAGTTCTCATCTGGCTGGTAAAATGGCTAGCTTGCGATTGACTGCAAATTACTTCATACGCCAATGTAACAAGCAGCAACCTCCAGCACTGAAAAATGAAGCCAACATGGAAGTGCCATAAACTGCAGTTCCTCTAATGGCCACTTGAAGCTGGCTCCAAGAGCGAGTTTTGGTTTCTACAGCTAATTCCCCCTCCATGACACCTGCGCGGAGGTAAATTTTAATACAAGTCACCCGTTTACATTTTATTAAGGCTTAAAGTTATGCGTGATTAATAGTCAACAGTCTATCTGCTGATAGTGTCCTCGGCTTCTCAGTCAGATCCACCCCTCACTCCTCCGCAGCTCCAGCCTCTCACCCAAATATGATGACTTATAAAATATTGCCATACAACTCAATACAGAGAAAATCGTCACTTTGATGACACAATAATACGACTGTGAGCGTGTTCCTACCCAGGACTGATTTCCTTGGTGATGTCAGCCAGGTCGTCGAGCTGAGCCAGGTTCTGAGACGTGTTGACGTCCCCGTTGGCTTTGACGGCCAACGTCAGCTTCCTTAGACATGCTGCTGATGCTTTCATCAGCCCCTGGCACGGACCAATCACACGTCTGTCCTTCTCTGACCAGTAAGTGTCCTGGTTGCCTCGAGGCTCCTGGTCATCATCAAGAATGTCACTGAACGGGTCCTGGGCCTCAGACAGTGCCTGAGGGGGGGGGGCACAAGATTCAGTAAAGGAGGTCTCTGATTAAATTATGATAACTTATTAAAATTAAAGAAAGGCCGGTCTCTAATAAAAGCCTGGATCTCTTTGCAGATGAGTGTGTGTGTGTGTGTGTGTGTGTGTGTGTGTGTGGTTCTACCTGTTCAATTTCTTCTATGGCATCTTTCACAACTCCAATCTGATTGGACAGAACCACCAGCACTGCTGCTTTATTATCTGTGAAACACACAAGCAAGTTTTTTCATCAACAAACCTGGTTAAAATTTTGCAAAACTCCCAAAACAAAATAACAGAAATAAGACATGAAAGCAAAATAAACTCTTTTCATATTAGATATTTCTTTGTGTTAGCTGACCCAGTCAAAGGTAATATCACTATTGTGATTATCAGCTGTCTTTGTTAACCCAGTTTTCTTCTTCTCTGTTTGCGTTCCTATCAATGTCACATCATTTGACTTTTTTGCCACCCAAAATGGATTGATCGTGTGCCACCTACTTCATTTAAGAGGAACAGGTCATTATAATCGCACCCAGTTTGCAAACACCTGTATTCACCCTCTGTCTGAAATACTCAGATTTAGCCCCTCTTGAAAAGCACAGTCTGCTTTGACTCCATATCTGCCCTCTCAGCATCTCTGCCAGGCCCCTAAGAACATCCACGCCCCCAGGAAGTGAGCCGAGCTTTGAAGCCAATTTTTGTAGTGGTCATACCGTGTAATTACACCTTCCTGTGATGCTATGGAGCCCAAAAAGACTTTTTCACATAAACTTACAAGCAGTGATTACATTTTTTTTTTGAGCTCATTGACTCATTTCACTATCAGAATTTGCTCCATTCAGTCCGACAACATTTGGTAAATCTACATGAGCTGTACATCTCAATCATTTTAACTCTATTCAAGTTTTTCTCTGTTTTCTCTCTATTCTGTTTTGTTTGTAATGTGTTAAAGGTTACTGTTATCATAAATACAAATGAAATAAATAAATGAATACAAACACACCCATGCACACACACACACCCTCAGAGTAAACTTTCTCATTCACACACGCTCTGTATTAAACTTAACATCACCACCTGCAGGCTGCAGTAATCTACTGACACTTCTAACTCCACCATTTCTACTGTTACTTCAACAATGAAATTCAAATTAGTGAATTTGCCAGGATTTCATTGTGTCTGACTTCAGTAACGACTCCACTTATAAAAATCGAATCTATTTAAATCTACTAACCTTGTGGTAACTGGGCAAAGTGGTCGCAGGCTGACCACACACCTCCTGTTGACATCAGCTGTTCCTGGGACAGACTGAAGGTGAGCAGAGGGAGAAGAGGAGGACGGAGAGAAAAGGAGGAAGTCAGAAAAGAAACAAACCACACTACATACTGTTTTTTGTCTGTCTGAAAATGGAAAATCGATGGTTGTAAAAAGGTTATTTTCTGTACTAATAAAACACATCAGCTAACAGAAGAAAATCATGTTGATCAGATTTCTGTATCACTAATATTGAAATTTCAGGTATTATGACAACACCAGTGTGAGTGTGTGTTTGTGTCTTTCATACATTCTGTTCTACTGTGACTCATAAGTACGCTATATCTTACACTGACTCTGTGTCTGTGTATTAATGTACCTCTGTAGCGGTGAGCTCAGTATGACCTCGACCAGCTGTGTGACTCCCTCCAGAACCTGGACTGTGGCGTCTCGGACCTGTCGCCGCAGACTGACACCTGAGACACACAGAGGACAGACAACGGAAACATGGTGACAAGCTGAAGCTGCTAATAAAAGCTTTACATCCATTTTATATTAATTTTGGCTGCATGCTCTTGGTTCCACAATATCAAGTGTAGCATGAGATTCACCGAAGACTTCTAACATCCTGTGATTGTCTCCATATACTGTTGCAGTGATAATATATGAGAACAGAGAAAATACGCTGTTCCTCTGAAGTGACAGCCAAGTAGCCAAAGTCCTGCGCTCTTCAGGTGGTGAGTGGTGGCGTTACCTTGGCTCTTAGGTAGCCAGTAGTACACAGTGGACAGAGTGAGGACACTTTTCAGGATGGACTCTGCTAACTTCTCTCCATCCTGCAGAGAGGAAGGAAAGAAGAGAGACAGAATACACATGAACATGTTGGGAATTGCGTGACAATTTAACTATTAATATTAGAACTAAATATCGATGATCTTTACTGTTAACCTATTTATATTTTTTGGCATTGTGTATATTCTGGATTTGCACCTTATTAATATTTCAATTAGGGATGTCCCAATCAAGTTTTTTTGTCCCCGATCCAGAGTCATTGTTGCTTCGGTGAAACACTACGCACCTTAGATGACAGCAGTGCTCATAACTTTAGTAAATAAAATATGCTAGTCCATACCCATTGGTAGCTTTGACACCTTCTACCTATGTCAATCCTCAATGCCTATGTGCAATTTCACATAGATTGACCACGTCAGTGAGTAGAAAAACATGGGACAGACAGAATGACTGACTGACAGAGTGACACACTGACAGTTTCCGTGATTATGTACAGCATACCATACCATGACTTAGTCATACCAAAAATTAGAACAAAACAACAACATTGGTCCACAGGGGGAGCCACAGCGATCAGTCACATTTTAGCCATTTTGAAGCATTTTTCTGTTGTTATAGCGCCACCCAGTTGCCAATTAGAGTTAAATTTCTCCAGTCACCTTGAGGCGTCCTGTTCTACATATCTACCAAGTTTAGTAAAAATCCATATGGCGGTTAGGCCTAGATAAGAAATGAGCTCTCTAGCGCCCCCATTTTGTTTGATGGGGTCAATAATGGAGGGGTCCCCTCAGATTATGTGTGGTCATATGCCTACAAAGTTGCGTGGTGATGGGTGAAACCCTTGAGATGTTATACACCTTTATGTGATGAGCCACGCCCTCCGCAATATTCATTGCCTTATAGAAGCTCAGTTTTAGTAAGTTTTCCAACTTTTGCCAAGAGGGAACTTTAGATATTGGTCCCTAGATTATGTTCACCCAGTTTCATGCAGATCGCTCAAACTTCCTAGGAAGAGATCCATTTGAAGTGTTTTTCAAAAAATTCAAAATGGCGGAAAATCTATATAAGCGGAAGTTATGGGTTCTTGAGGCAAATGTGTTCCTCATGAGGAGAGGCATCTCTGTGCAAAAGAGACACAGACAGAGTTTTCGTCATTATATAGTAAGATAAACAGTCTCATACTGAGTTTTACTTTCGTTTATGGCGTGAACATGTGTTTTTTTGCCACAGGCAGAGCTCAGTCGCTGCTCTTATACACACACAGACAGCGGATAGTTGGAGAGCTGACAATGGCTGCACTCGCGTTGCTGTGTGTTACGTGTGGCCCTGCATTGGCCAGTGCCACTTAGTTAAAAAATGCCTTGATCCGTCCTGATAACAATCATTAAGATCCCATCCCTTTATTTTTGTACTCTCAGTCAAACTTCCTGAGAGCTTTAAAAATGAATCATAGCTGATACAACATAAACACAACAAGGTAAACATCATGATGCTAGTAATATAATCTGACCTGCTGTGATGGCAGCGGGGGTCTGGAGAAGGCCAGGCTGAGTTAAGTGGCTTCCTGGGACACTGCCTTCACTGCCTGGTCTGAGGACAGAGGAGTCACAATTACATCACATTTAAAGCTCCCACTAAATGAACAGGAGGATAATGGGGTGCTGGTACTTAACATAAGGAGTGTCCTGAGTTTTAAAAGATGAAAAAATATTTGTAACACAATCTGGAGGTTTCTAAAACCAGCACACAAAAATGAGGGTGTTGTTTAATATAAAAATTATGCAAAAATATGTTTGTTAAGTAACGACAAGACATCCAGGGTGACAAGATGGGATTTTTTACTAATTATGGAGCCTTCACAGAAGCAGGGAAAGGAACAGGAAGTGGAGGATGGCCACAATAAATGATACTCAACTCAGAGTGTCCCAGAAGTTGGAGAGATTGAACGCTCCATCTGACTCATTGGACTCTCCGTCTGTGGTGGAAAATGAGTGTTCGGTTAGCAAACGTTCTCTCTTCCAGGGAAAACACCATACTAAATTTTTATTATTATTATTCTTAAAAATGAAAAATGGTGATACGTGAAACCTTTCGTCAAATAATTGGTTATTTAATCACCAAAATGTGAACATTTACAGCTTTTCTATGTTTTAAATCAATGTAAAATGAATATATTTGGGAGTTGCAACATCGGTCAGACAAAAGAAAACATCTGAAGACATGACCTAAGCTCTCAGAACTTGTGATGGGCACCTCGCCATTTCTGTTCCGTTAAAAACAACTGATTTTAAAGAATAATAAAAGATAATGGAATAATCGCTAGTCGCAGCGCCACAAATAGCTACAGGCTGCATGAAGTGTACTAGCTTAAGACTTCTTTTTGGCAATATGGCAACATTATCTTCATGTATATGCTCATTCCTAGAAATGGTTGCTTTTCATTACTGGCTGGTGTTATCAAGTTGTCCATTTTGTGTTCTGTCGCACTCAGTTTGCAAACTGACATATTTTTCATTGCATTGTTTATGCTGTACCAGCAATATCGATCTATAATAATATATGATAATATTTCTGGGTGGATGTGTACTTCCATGGAGGGAAAATTATTGATTTATTACAGAAGCGTATTGCATTCACTTCAAAAAAATCTGTTTTATTGAGTAATTTTTTTCTGTTTTTCAGAGTATTTTTTTATTTTTCTGTTTTTCGTGGCAATTTTTTCTGTTTTTCATGGTAATTTTTTTTTTCTTCTGTTTTTCATGGTAATTTTCTTTCTTCTGTTTTTTTCGGGGTAATTTTTTCTGTTTTTCTGAGTATTTTTTTCTGAGTTAGAGCAATAGAACAACAGACGCTTTCATTCCTTTCTTGAGAGCTCAATATAATGGAAGCAAACATAAGGTGCCTACGTAAAGTCGACAAACTAATGACAACACCATCTATATGACTTAAAGACAAGAGTATCTCCCAGTGTCTCAAACCCAAAACAAAGTAAAACTGGATTAAATTAAACAAGCGGGTCATGTTTGCTTCCATTATATCGAGCTCTCGAGAAAGGAATGAAAGCATCTGTTGTTCTATTGCTCTTAACTCAGAAAAAATTACCTCGAAAAACAGAAAAAAAGTACCACGAAAAACAGAAAAATAAAAGAATTACTCCGAAAAACAGAAAAATAAAAAAAATTAGTCTGAAAAACAGAAAAAAATTATTCAATAAAACAGATTTCTTTTAATTTGTCAAGTGAATGCAATTCGCTTCCGTAATTTATCATGTGTTTTGGTCTGCTTATTTTATCCATAAACCTTTACTCAAGTGTTTTTTTTTTTCTAGAAAATGTAAAAGATCATGATATATATGCATATTTATAAAACATGTTGGCAGCAGATTTGATCCAAATTATACACTCAAACTTGAAATGTACACTCAGCTGCCAATTTAAAAACATTTGATGACAAAACTGGTTTCAAGAGGTGTTAATTCAACTTTATGGTCATTCTGGAGGCTGCAGAGCTGTGTTGTGTTTTAATCCACACCATTTAAAAATTTGCATTGTTCAAATAGTAAATGCTAATGTATTATGATAGGTTAACCTACTCAGCGATATATAAAGTGATTACTATGATCCCCAACTTTAACAGCTAAGTACAACATTAAAGTAACATACACACTGACATCACTTATTATAATTCAACAGCATAATTATGATTCTGAAATGGTGCTTTCTGTATTATGAGAAGTTTTACTCAGTACTTTAAGTATATTTTGATGCCTTTGTATATTTGTTTGAGTACAATATTGAATGACAGACTGCAGTATTGCTACTTTCACTCAAGTTACATTTCTGAATAGTTCTTCCATATGTACAGACAAAAACAACTCGCAATACTGTTTAAAACTAACGTTACAGCCTCCAAAAATTGACCATGGATGTACATCCACACGTCTATGACACAAGCTTTACAAAAACTGAGTATCAACGCCATTACATAAGGTAGCTAACGTTAATTAATTAGCGAAGAACTGTTGCTATAACTAGATGTAGCTGTATGTAAGTTACCAAATACACCGACAACCTGAGTATTTATTTTGACCAAAGACTTGAGATAAAAATCTGACAATTTCGTCAGTTTAGCAAACAGACAGGGGGTAACTCTATCTAGCTTAATTTGTAAAAATAAATATTAAAATTCACAGCTAAGAAATCGTGCCCAGTGTAACTCCACATAAAATATAAATAACCGTTTTGACAGTTAAAGCGAAGGTTAGCACACTTAGCTTGACATCTGCTAGCATAACTTCTAGCTCGGCATAACGGCTGACTATTTGTGCTGCGTCACATCTGATGTGTCACATTTACCTCTGACCCGGTCTCTAACACACTGGATGGAGTTCAGAAGATTTCGTAAAGGCACAGAAACATTTCCACCACTATTATCAGCACTCATGTCACCAAAGTTTTTGCCAGCTAACATCAGATACACGCGTGTTGTGGAACTACAGAATGAAAGGAAGTGGGACCGGGGACAAGAATAAGGGAGGCACCGACACTGCAGCCGGAGGAAATAAGAGATGACACATTTATTGTGGCTTTAGTGACACCTGGTGGTGAAACAAGTGAGTGCCTGAGTATTTCAGGCAGAGCACAGGCAGAGACTGACCACCAGTTTAAAATATGTTTTATGCTTTTTAGAGAGATTTTAAGAATAAATAGCAGAGGCCATTTTAAAATTGACCTCAATTTGAAGCAGGTTACTGGCATGAATTTAAATTTTACGTAGTAATATTAGCTACTGGGAAAAACTCACCTTAAATTTGTCTATTAAGCAAATGTTTTGGGATAACAGAAACATTTTATGGGTTATGATAACAAATTATTATTTTTATTTTATATTGGTGACATCTGTTTCTCTGCAAAGAAGCTCAATAACAGCAAATAAAATTTGTACTTTTTTTCGCAAAAAAATAATCTTGTTTCAGCTGGATGAAAGACTGCATTTTATGATCTAAATACTTGATTGCAACTAAGGTGAAATATGTGTCTTTTAGGAACATTCACTGGTATAAATCCTGCAAATTTCTTTTACCAAAAAGGACACTGATGTTACTAGGGTTACAATGATATTAGATTTTCATGGTACGATAACCGTCTCAGAAAAAAATGCAGTTTCATGGTATTGCAGATTGTATGTTTTCATCAGTCAGAATGATTGCCGAAGCAATCAAAATGGAGGGCTTATTTTTGGTTGAATGAATATTTTATTACTCTGAGACTTGAAAGTCTTTCCTTTGAAAGTTACTAAAATAAAGGGGAGAATCTCCTTACAGTTGCATTTTTTTATATACATGGTGCAATAACTGTCAACGTCATATCACGCTATATCTGTTACTTGAAGTTTGGACTTAACATTTATGAACAGAGCCATGCGCAGAGATTTTTTTTTTTTCTGTCACAGAACAGCTGGCTTTGTTCCTTGATGATACCTGTTCAATAAAGTTTTAAAAAAGTTTAACAACAAAACTAAAAGAAATTTAAATTTTAATCATTTATCTTGTGTCAACAGGGGTCAAAAGCTTTTTTATGCCCTGGGGCCCACTCGTATATTAATCTGGCCCTCTTAATTACTGCACTGATGACTTTGTTCGAGGTTTTATACCTCCTATCATACCTCCTGATTTTTTTTTAACATTTAATGAGAGCTTACTGAGTTGAAACTGTTTTGAAACTCACCATTCCCTCATTTGTGTTATTTATTACAGTGTGTAAGTATGTGATAACATTGTGTTGGTATCATTAGCAAACAAGATAGGACAAGAAAATTTACAGACCACTGAAGAAATCATTAATGTAAATAAGAAATAATAAAGGTCCCAAAATAGATCCTTGTGGTACGCCACATGTTATATGAACAGTTTTTGAAGCACATCCATTTATTGATACCTATTGTTCCCTGTCACTCATATGTGGTTAAATATATATATAGTTGTACATACGTATGTCATGTAACAACTCAAGCACATCATCCAACAATGATTTAACTCTTTATTAAACAACAAACAATATAAATAACATTATTCAGGTGTAGAAACTCTGAATGTATGGGGTTAAATAAACAGTGAAAAACTCTTAAACATCGGCATCTGTGTTTGAATATGCCAACAAACATGTGAGTGCTTAGCTTCATGCTGGCTGAGCCTCTCTCAGTAGTATGTAAAGGCACTACTTTCGGTCCTTGTTAAAAAAGAAGATTCCAGTCGCGATTCCAATCAGACACAAAACGAGGCTCGCTATGAAGAATAAAGCTGCAGGGCTCAAACTGCTCTGACTCTTCTCCAGCTCTGTGGATGACACAGAAACAATCACATCCTTCTGTTAAATGTATGAGGGGAGTGAAGGAATGGTTTTTATTTTGCTGAAGTTTCATTTATAAACATTGCGTATGCACAAAACAAGACCTGAAAGAGGCGTACGCCACTTCCCACACAAAAGTTGTGATCTATAAAAACAGACTTGATGGGAGAAACTTTGACTCATGCTTATGAACATTTTGGAGACGAGAAATTGGCAACGTAGATGGTGAGTTGGAGGCCTGATTGTAGAAATGGTTGAATATTTTTTGGCCACGCCATTTTTGGCTTTTGTTTGTGCATACATTTTTAGCATGGATCTTATGCACTGTTTTATAAATGAGACCCCAGAACAGAAAAGAACTTTGTCTGAGATGAGTAACCATGAGATCTCTTAGACCAATGGTTCCCAACTGGTGGGTCCATTCTGAATGGACTGCAAGTGACTTGCAAACGTGTCTAGTTTGTAAAAAACATTTCCGAGACAGAGCTGCATTTTTTAAGCGCTGTTTCCTGCTGTAGAGTGACTGACTAACAGACAGCTACTTGACAGAGACAGCAAACTAGCTTGATGACATGGCCAAACGCAAGTATGACACTGAATGTGTTAAACAGTGTGGACCTTGAACTAACAACTAAGGCAGAATTTATACTTCTGCGTAGAGCCTACACTGTACCCTTCACCGTGGCCTGACATGCACCTCCCCAGAAATGTAACTACATGTCACAGCGGCGCAGACCTCCTGTCTATTTTTGTAAGCTGAAACCATTTCCCTCAGTGGAAAGGAAGCTTTTATTTTCTTTAATTTCACAGATAAGAAACAATAAATTGTGAAGACAATAAAGCCTCCACAAAAATAGTACTTTACTTGTCTTGTAATAGTCTTGTGAGTAATTTATCCTTTGTAGATTTATACTTCAGAATTTATCCTGGCTTCATATGAGCAGAGGAAATCTCTGCACGTTGTTAGGCTAATTTATACAATGTAAAATGCCATAAGCTTGTGCTAATAACGTTAGCATGTTACATTTGCTTGGAAAACATGTTTAGTATAAGACAGATGTTTTGCCGGTGAACCTCATGAGTTGTAATGGAGACAAATTTTGTAATGTTACCTTAGTTAAATGTTGCTGTGACAATGTAAAATGCCATAGGTTTATGCTAAAAACATTAGCATGTTGTATTTGTGAGGAAAATGTGTCCAGATAAAAACAAGTGTTTGTCTGTGAATGCTGCGAGTTATAGTGAAGCTGATTTGTGTACTTGTGTTTGAAATTGTTGCTATCAAGTCATGTGTCATGTGTGTTTTGAGTCAACTAAACTTTACAGCACTTCACACAAACCCCACTGCCAACAAGTATTTTGGAGGTATAACTGCAGAGTGACACAGCGGCACAACGGCATAGGCTATAGCGTAGGCTCTGCATAGAGCTGACGCATGAGTATAAACCCAGCTTAAGGAGAAAACTGGACCTCGTGGGTTGACCAGTTGGGAACTAGTGTCTTAGACAGTCCTAAGAAAAATGACTCTAAAATGAATAATAAGAATAATTACAACAGTGATTTGAACGACAGACACCACAGCTCTTTGTCTTACCCCAGCTCTTGCTGAGAGGCTGATGTAAGGTTTGATGCTCCACCAAACAGGAGTAAACGTCTCCCTCCTGAGGGGTAAAAATCAATGTTGAAATTCTGTGGAATGTGCCGTCACTGTTGTGGAGGTAACGCAGGTCCAGCACTCCCTCGGTGATCTCCACCCCGTTCTTTGTCCATGTGAAGTTGATGGTGGGGGGGTAGAAGTGATTGGCGAAACAGAAGAGAGTGTTCAGCACACCGTCCTCTTCCTCATACCGGGTGTAGATGGAGATATCTGGAGCATCTGGTCAATAAGAAAAGAATGGAAAGAACTGACATTGAGGGTGTGATTTTATATTTATTATCATTATCATTATTTTATATATAATGATTAAAAATTCTAATTTTATTTTAATAAAGTTGAATAAGCTCATCACCTTGCCGTAGAATAGCACCCGGATCTGCTTTTAGTGCTCTACCTAAAATGCTGTGACAGTGAACAATGCTAGCTTTAGCAAATTCGTAAGCCGTTTTCGTTATCTCTTCTGCAGACTGTGGCACGTGAGGTACCGCAATCACCATTTCATCCTTGCTGAAATCAGCATACGCGGCCACGTCCCCGTCAACAAGGGCATCCACCCGCACTTCCCCTGATTCAAAGCATGCATAGATGTAGTGGAAGTCATGGAGAGGAACTGAAAAGAAGGAGATGAAACAGCATTACAAGGTGGAGGCACTTTAAACACTTTGCAAGTTGATTATCAGACTGTTCTGACAATAATCAAAATCAACCAAATGGGATGGTGGGTGAAACATTTTATTCTAGCAGACAGCAGCACTATGATACACAATACTCAACTTGTAGACAAAGGAATAGTTCAGCATTTGAGGAAGTATGCTTCCGCTTTCTTGTTGATGTATGATGATGTATGATGACAGTGGTACAGCTCTCATGATAGTGACAATGACGAGATGTTAGGAGATATACAGAAAGACAACTGATGTTATGTTATGTTGATAGTGTGGTTGAGACACACAAATAAATGCTGCTGAGTGTTTGGAAGCAACATGTCTTCATATTTGTTGAATGTTATTTGTTGAAGGTTCACAGGCTGAGATCAATATAAAAAGACTTTGGATGTTAGGCAGTCATTAGACCTGTGACACACACAACTGTTTAACTTTTATAATAAATCTAAAAGGATGACTGACATGAAATATAAATCTGAAGTAAGACATTTTTAGAAAATCTTCCCCTGCCTCCCAGAAAATTAAGACTATACCCCTTCTACAAAAAGAAAAAAGTACATCATTATAAACTTTTACTTTCACTTTACACTTGCTGAGTTCTGGACAAAGAGCCATGTGAACTCTGACGAAGGCTGTAGATCATATCTTACTTGTTGCAGATGTAACTCCGGTGAATACGATCAGCAGGATCACAGACAGAGTCATCTTAACTTCAAGTCTGTTGCTGTGTTCTGGCAAAAAAATGTCTGAGGTACGAGCTCCAAACAAGCTTTAAGCAGCCAATCAGATATGATTACACCACTGTTGCCGGGTAGAACATTTTATAGCTCTTTAGCC